CCTGTGTTCATTAAGGAAAATTTAGTGATTATTAGTGATAATCCAGTTAGAACATGATTGCATTTCAGTCATTGAGATCAGATATTCTTAAAAAAGGTCCAAATTAGACCTATGTTTATCGCGCTTATGTAAGTTTCGGCAGAAACAAATAGTGAATAAATTTTTTTGAAAATTCCTCATTATGGGGCTGCAACTTGAACTGATAATAAAAATTAAAAGTAGCTGAAGCTAATTTTAGACGCAGAAGATTAAAATTTGAATTTTTGCGAAGGAAATGATCATTAATATCAAATAGTAGCTGCAAGTAATAAGGTTCCTCCCAATGGTAAGTAAAAGCTCGGAGTTTAAAGCAAGGAAAGCTTACCAAAGCAGCCGGCGTTTTGATAAAATTTAATCATTTTCTGAAGGCACGCCTGAAATAAAAAGTCTGATGAATCTATTAGAAGAATATGTCTCCTCATGAAGGCAGGAAATAAGTGGACGAAACGACATAGCCGCTGAACCTAATATCCAATGCATCGGGTCAGTTATTTTGTTTAGTAAATAACAATGTGGGACAACAGAATAGGGGCATGCATAATAACTGTAAACCTTTACAATTTCCCCAATGAGGGTATTTTCGTATTGGGAGGGGGTCTCGAAAGAAAACTTATGAAAACCACTTAATTTGACGGCTATATAGGGAATCGTTAGTAAGAGGAAAAGGTTTAAAACAATTCTAAGTACTAGAGTTATCAAGATACACGTTTCTGAAGGTTATCGATCTATATCGAACTTCGGAATCGTTAAGAAAGCTAACGTTTTAGAAAGGCGTGAGACGGTAATTATTGTAGTGAAAATGAAAACTTCACTGCATGATGTTCAATGCCTTATCACTTCCATAATGGGCTTTCAGGTTGAGGTACTTCTAATTTTAGGTCTTTAGGTACCACTAGCGGGTCACAAGTTAATAAATTTTCCATAACAGAAGGTATATGAGGAACCTCTGGGTAAATAGTTTTGGATAAAATAAGCATTTTTATTAGGTGTTTTCCTGTCGGTTTCTAAATCTTGCTTAAAGCAGGTCCACTGCAGCAAGTGAAAAGTATTTTTTTAGCATTTTGAATTATTAACAGACTGAATTCACCAGTTGGCTCTTCCGTGTACGGTGTTTCGGACGCCAGCTGCACAGAAATGCAAATCATTGACTTGTTTTTCTCTGGGAGGTGCACGAGATAAGGCTTCGACTTAGACACCGCATCACGACTCGAACAAGATATACGCGCGTAATAGTTTTTTTCAATAGGCGTTAAGGGATACATCACACTGACAGCATAAGTACCAGCTAAAAGTCCAGATACGTGTTTCACCGGGATTCTGCCGCTGCTTGTCACATCCGCGAGGGGTCCGGATAATCAGTGAGTCTCCCACCATCCCCTATGTGCTATATGGTACGTATTCCAGTTTAGACATTTTGCTTTCATTTTTCGGAAATTAATCGTTAACTTGAAGTCTACGCCTATAGACTTGCAAATAGAATAATTCCTTCCAAGTTAGCGATTAATTTCTGAAAAGATTAAAAAGCGACAGTTTTTCAAATTCAGAAAGTAACGTTTTTTTGCTAACTAACATTTTCACCTATTGATTCAAAGATGTCGCTAATACCATCGCCGAGCAGTAAACATTTCTTTTTCACTGAACACATTGCATATTTAGCTCAACAGGCTTCTGTGATTTCAGATAGAGAATTGGGAACTGTTTACCAGCGCAAAACTCGATTCTTGTTACTCTGAATTACAGTCTGGTCTATTTCCTCTGTTCTAAATAGGGCACACTAAGGTTGTTTTGACAGTTGTATACAGGTCACAGGGATGAAAACTATTGTGTGATGTTACGGTCACCACTCATTTTCCTCAGTAGTTTTTTAAAATACACTAAAATTTTCTAATGTCAGATTACAATGCACTGGTCTGTCGGCACTGGAATGACCATCTATCCTTATTTCATACCCTCGAAATGTGCTGGGTTGGATTTTTCAGGGCTGCCCCTATACCATCTAAAATTTGTATTTATTATCCGAATTTTAACCAACCGGATACTTTTCTTACACTTTCCTGCGCTTGTCTGACGGTGAAAATTCCCGAACATTTAATTACGTCAAGAAGGGCTTGAACGGGGACATGTTGTGCTGAAAGCGTTCCATTTTCACCAGTGGCCATTTAGGTAGTTGAAAACTGGCCA